TGCCAGTGGACGGAGGGCCTAAAAAATCTAAGAAGAAATGCAAAAATGAGGCATTTCTGTGAAAGTTCCAGGCACACGATTGCTTACTGACTTGCCTACTGATGAGCTATTCTGACATTTTATGTTTTCTCTTGAAATTAGGTTATAATTCACAACTTACTAGAAAACACAAGCAGATTAATCATGCCAATAACTTTAGGAGGAACTTTTCATTGTAAGTCCATATGACTTTGATATGACCAAATTAACAATAATTTAATGCTAGTCTGTTTTTAATTGTAAAAGAAACACATCTACGATGACATTTACGTTTTCTGTATAAGTGATATATAGGATATATAAATCCTGACTTCATCATTATTAACATTTTGGTTTATTATTTCAGGCCTTTTTTTCCTCTGCCTCTATTTTAGCTGTCAAAATCACTGTTGGGATCTGAGCTGAGAACCTCACAGCTAGTTTAGTGTGCCGTCTACACACCATTTGTAATAAATCCCTACACGTTCCCGAGTGTTGGGACTTTTCCAGCATTCTGTTCTTTCCAGAGTGTCATTGGCAATGCTCTGATGAGAAGCTTTACATAAATCTCTGTCTGTATCAAAGATAATAACTTAGTATATATTCCCAAGAGGGTAGTTTCTGTGTCAGAGGAGATAATTTCCAAGACTCTTGAAACCTATTATCAGATTGTTTTCCTGTGTGGCTCGGCCTTCACCAACAGAGCACAGAAATTCACTCGCCCCAATTCTCCACCAGGATTAAGTGTAATTTTGTGTTCCATACACGGGGACATAACACAAAAAAACAGCCTCTCATCTTCTTTTAGCCTGGATTTTAAATCCTTAATGAAATTCCATGTTGTTTCAAGCTGTCCAAGGTGTTTGTGGGGTTTTTTTCTTTTATGAATTATCGGTACAATCGGTTTTTTAAGATTGAATTTAAAAACAATTACACCTCAGGTACCTTAATTTTGGTTAGTTTGTTATCATAGCAGAGAGGAAGGGAGAGCAGGAAATAGGAGAACTTTTTACATTGGAATACATAATTTTAATATTGAATTTCCTTGAGATTTCCAGAGGTACTAAAAGAAAGATGAAAAGGTGTGGGGTTTTCAAACACAGAACACTGAGGGGCATTGCTTCCTGGTTGCTTCAGAGCTCCGCCTTCTTCCTCGATTTCCTCCAGGTTTGTAGACAGGAATGGTCTCGGTAGGTAGGCAATTAAAACTACTATATGAAAAGACTTGGCTTGCAAATCTGTCTGCTTCTTTACATAGTCATGAAGTCCGCCTTCCCTCTTAGCGCTCTGCTTTGCCCCTTCCCGAGCTCAACATTGACCACTTTCTTTTTGTTTGTGAGTGGAAGGAGTGATGCATGCTCATGACTGTACATATGCAGGCGTGCGTGCATGTCAGGAGACAGCCAAAGTCTTCCCTCCATGGCCCTCCACCTATTTTTTCAGACAAGGGTGGGGGGGTCTCTCGCTGAACCTGGAGTTCAGTGATTGGTTAGGCGCTGGCCAATGACTCCAGACATCTTTCTGTCTCCGCCTCCAAGCTGGTGCTAGAGACACAAGCTCCTGTACCAGGCATTTACAAGGATGCTCAAAATTGTGCGGCCAGCACTGTATGCCCGGAGCCATCTCCCCAAGCTCCCAGGTCACTACTTAAAACATAGCAAGAGACAGCTTGCAAATGAGAAGGGAAACGTGCCCCCACGAACTAGAGCATTCGTAGGCTATGCTCAACAACCCTCCTCTCTGGAGGTTGGGATTCTAAGGTGCTTTAATTAGCAAGCCCATATGCTGAAGGGAAGGCAGGGGACGGTTTGTGTGCAGTGGACAATAGCAAGCTTGTTACCCTCTGTTGGTAAACTGAAACAGCCATGTGTATGCTCACTCGTCCTGGAGGGTCTGGGGTGACTAAATAAGTATTGGGGTGGTCTTACTGAAATATTTATGATCCTAATGACACCAAGACTCATAAAGACTCCCCAACGACCCACAGGCCCACATGGGTAGTATTTAGCTTTCTCAAGAATTGACACTCAAATTTATTTCACTGTGAGCCTTCAACTTCACTTTTTGTTTGCTTATTTGTTTATTTATGTGCCTAGTATATCTTTTACAAAATATTCCCAGATTCAGTCTGTTTATTTCTGCATAGAAGATAAAAGAGTGATCTTTATACAGAACTCAGAGACACACAGGCTACTATATATATATATATATATATATATATATATATATATATATATACAGACCTCCAGGAAACTAGAGCACACCCAAACCCCAGAAGTAAATAACACCTCAAAAGCTGTCAGCCTTCATACTTCCCGGCTGCATTTTCAGCTCTCACTCAAGGTCTCCTTCATGGTTTTGTTCCTATACGGTCAAACACGCAACTGCCCACACCTCAGCTAAGTGCCAAAGACAGGCTAATGCTTAGCTGTATCATTGGCACAGGTTACAGTGTCTTGGTGACTTTGGGCTGCTGTAGCCAACTGTCATAGAATGGTGGCTCACAAAAACTGGGAGCTGATCTGCTGACTTTCGTGTGCTGGGAAGGCACCAGCAGTTGACGCCCCTTTATATGAGAGGCAGGACAAAGCAGCTTCCTGAGGTCTCTTTTGGAAAGGCCCCAATTCCACTCCTTCTAAATTTTTATTTCTTGTGCGTACGATACACGTGTCTGTACGTATGACTCGTGTGAGAGAGTGCAGGCATGCCACAGTGCACCTGTAGAGGTCCAGGGACAACTTCGAAGATAGATTTTGTTTGAGACAGGGTCTCTTTGTTGTTTGCTGCTGCATACCCCAGGCTAGCTGGACATGGAGCTCTTGGGAAACTCTCCTGTCTCCTCCCATATTACTATAGCAACAAGGGGACATGCGACTGCAGATTTAAGTTTCAGTGTCTAGCTTTATTTGGGTTCTGTGGATTAGAACTTAGGTGTTTTACACATGGAACCATCTCTGCAGCCCCATTAATTCAATTCATGCCAGAGCTCCTCTGTCTTCATCCCTACCAAAGGGTCTGCTTCTAATACAATACCCTGAAGGGTTAAGATGTCAACATAACAGTTTTAAGGTGGCACAGACATTCTGTAGCAGTGACCTTATAATTTTCTCAAACACTTGGTAATGTTACTACCTTTTCCTTCAAAATGGGCAGTCAATTTAAGAGTCTACTTGTACCTGAGTTGAATATGTCTATATTTGTTGAGAGGAGAGAGAGATCAACTGTCTTGTGTTTTTGAGACAGGGCCTTGCTGTGTAGCCTTGAACTTGTGATCCTGCTGACTCAGCCTCATGAGTGCTAATGTTACAGCTGTGTGTCCCCAGTCTGGATCCAAGTGCCTGTTTAGGTTGCTGTGCTTTCCCATGCTCACCTCCAGAGCCCCAGCTTTATCCAGAAAGCAAGTCACCTCCAAATGTAGTTACGCTGAAGGTGAACTAGAACCATGCCTCCTGGAGTGGGTAAGACGGAGGAGTGTCTGGTGAAGGAAGGAGCGTGGAGGACTCCCGGCATGTCTGAAAACAAAGACCTGCTTTTCTGGTTACAACACCAAGTTGGCTTGGTGTAGGAATGGAGAAGGGCGTATTTTTATACATTGTTAATTTAAAAAGTTACTATGAAAAATTGTTGTAGTATATACCCAAATTTTAAGTGGATGTAAATTTCAAAGAAAAATTCTATTTAGAAACTTATTTTAAGGAAATGATGACAGATCAATGGGAAGATGAAGCTATTTACATTAAATGGAGAATCAGTTTAATTGCAATACATACTTATAATGCAGTACTTTGCAAGCAGTTAAAATGATTTTCGGAAGAACATTTAATGACAAGGAAAATGTGTGTATATGTGTGTGTGTTCATGGTGTGTGCATATATGTGTATGTGTGAATGCATATGTTAAATAAGTTATAGAGCATTGTAAATGGCATGAGCATGATAAAATGTTTAAAGCACTTACATAAATGTATGTAAAATGCATGTAAAAAAAAGCCCAAGCTTCTGTGTTCATCTTGTTTTGCTTTCTGCATTTTTCTAGAAGGACCATGCATCATGTTTGCAATAAAAGAAAGTGAACACTATTTAAAGCAGGAGGCTCAGCGGTTTTAAGTTCTTCGGTCCCCTGCTTCTAGTTACTGAGTCCATGAAGGCAGGCAGTGTCTAAACGCTGCTGTTTGAGGCTCTGGTTCTGGTTCTGAGACAAAAACCGGACTGAGGCTGCTAGGTTTGCTAGATTGCAACACCAGGGGTCCATCCTCAGACTCTAGATAGTCTCTCCTCTCCCTCAGTCCCTTCCCCCGTGTCTCCCTTTCAATACAGCCTCTGTTAAGGCTGTTTACAGATCTCCTCTATTCAGCCTTCCTGTAGTCTCTCACACACATGCATGCACACACTCACACACATATGCACATGAATGCATATGTGGGTGTTCACACACACACATGCACACACACGCATGCACACACTCACACACATATGCACATGAATGCATATGTGGGTGTTCATACATACACACACACACACCATGCATACACACATTCACAAATGCACACAAATGCATTCATACACACGCTCTGCTCTATGTGTGTAGTTCTATGGGCATTGGCAAATTGGACACTTGGAAGCCCATTGTAGAACTGAGGGAAAGTCACAGGAAAGGGGTGTGTGCATACCCTACACCCAGCTTTCATTCCTGGGACGAGACCCCATACTCCCTCATTTGGAAAAGTAGTTCCAGACCTGCCGTGTTGAATGAAAAGGCAGCAGATGTAGCAGATACCAGGGTGGCTTTCTGCAAGGGCCTTTCAACAGAGACTAAGACACTCTACAAACTGGACCGCTCACTTCCGCTAATATAAGAAGATTTGTGTCATCAGTGAAAATGTCTCATGCATAACCATTGCAAATATGGGAGGCCTTAGAGAAAAAGTGTTTAGGGGAAATGATATGAATTAGATTCATTTTGTCTTTATTTTCCTCACATAGTTTTGCTGGTAACTGGAATACTTTCAAATAAAGAAGTGGCAAAGAAGATTAAAAGACCCAAATTCGGTAAGTAAAATCAAAATCCCCCTCTGGCACAAGACTGTGCCCCACGTGGAGAGTAGCCCCACATATATTACAGCAATGGTTCTCAACATTGCTGCTGCCTTAAACCTTTAATACAGTTCCTCATGTTGTGGTGACCCCACCATAAAGTTATTGTTGTTGCTGCTTCATAGCTGTAATTTTGATACTGTTATTAATTGTAAAGTAAATATCTGATATTCAGGACATCTGATATTCAACCCTTGTGAAAGGGCCGTGGCCCACAGGTTGAGAAGCACTGTATTAGAGCACGCGAGTGGTGATGTCTAAGGCGCACGCGAGTGGTGATGTCTAAGGCGCACTCGAGTGGTGATGTCTAAGGCCTTTCTTTCTGTGTAAGTTGCTTTGCATCTAAATGGAGATGTGTCTTACTCATTATCTACCTCATTACCACCAAAAAATTGTTATACCTTCTTTTTTAAAGTAAAACAAATGTGACTCCACTGCAACAGGAAAAGTCCCTCACACTCACACCCAGCGCAGACCTGGTTTACATTTCTCTCTGCCTCAATTTCAGCACAACTGACAAAACCAAACCACCGTAAAGATTGCCAGCAGAACTCTGCTCCCTGGCTGTGTGTGCACCACGTGACCAGCCACCTTACACTCCTACCACGTGAGCTCGTGGGTTGTAGGTCTTTAGGGCTGGTCTGTAGAAGGAATGCTGAAGAGTTTGCTGATAGGAGCCAGAGAAGCCCTCTGGAGTTGTAAAAGGAACTTAACAGGCCATGCTGATGGGGAAATCACAATGCTGAAAGAAGCAGGGGAGAGACCCAGCTCTCAAGGTTTCAGAGGGAAACAGATACTCGATGGGGAACAGAATTAGACTTCACTCATGCATTCGAAGAACTTGAGTGGGAACAAATTTGAAAGTGACGGAACCAGTTTGTTTAAACTGGGGAAATTTCAAGACCAGAGAGTACTCAAGGGGCATCGGGTTACTTCTCATTGCTCTTACCCAGTCTACAGTGAGAGAGCTCCAAGTGACACAGGAGGGCCTGGAGATTGCAGTCTGGCACAAAGAGGAGGCTGAGTGAACCCGAAGTCACATTATGCAGCTGTTACTGTTAGAAGTCGCAGGTATGCAGCTGTAATTGTTAGAAGTCGCAGTATGCAGCTGTAATTGTTAGAAGTCGCAGTATGCAGCTGTAATTGTTAGAAGTCGCAGGTATGCAGCTGTAATTGTTAGAAGTCGCAGGTATGCAGCTGTAATTGTTAGAAGTCGCAGGTATGCAGCTGTAATTGTTAGAAGTCGCAGGTATGCAGCTGTAATTGTTAGAAGTCGCAAGTATGCAGCTATAATTGTGAAGAGATGAGCACCATGAAACAGAATGCTCCTGCTCTGCACCCGGGTCACAGGGAAGGCGTCCCAAGGGCAAGACCCCACGCAGCAAAGTCTTCCGTTTGTGACAGCGAAAACATCTGAAAAGACTACACCTGAACTGGAATGCCTCCGAAGGGCTCCCCTGCTCCCGTGCCTGGGAAAATGGTTTCTCAAATTGAACCACCAAGGCACACAGAGGACACACAGTCGTGGGAGAGATGGCTGGATGGCATCTCAAGCTGGCAGTAAAAAAATGGGTGGCACTGTAAGGGTGGTGGCAATAGGAAGGCTGTACCAAGGAAGTTCCCGGAGCCAGGCAATGTGTGGCTGGCTTGGAGGCCCTACAGGGCAGCCCTGAAAAGCATAGCATGACATTGGCATGAGATGCCCGAGGTGCAGCGAACACCCCAGGATGTTGGGGATCCCGAGACCACGGAACATCTGCTTGCCAAGGAAAGCTGCAAGTGTGAGGTAGTGTTGGCCCAAAGGGATGCAGCATGTGCAGCAGGAAGCATTACTGGAGGAGAGAGGCTACCTAAGCTATTTGCAACTCAGATGATTCTGTCACTGGTCCCAGAGACCCGACGTGGAGTTGCAGAGTTCAGTTCAGTCATCCTTAGCCTCGCCTCCTCCATTCCTCCCTTTTGGGATGAAAATGCTTACTCTGAGCCATTGTATGTTAAAAGCATATTATTTGATTTTGATTTTACAATGGCTCACAGTTTAGAGATGACCTTGGGTCTTGGAAGTAACTGGGCTGTTGGGCAGCATTGGAATTATTAAAGGCTGTAAGAACTTTCAAATTTGGAATAAATATAGTTTGTGTTATGAGATGGCCATGACTGTGTGGGGTCAAGGTGCTGAATATATTGGTTTTAATGTGAAATATCTCCCATAGTCTGGCATGTTTGAGCATTTTGTACTCAGTGTTGTGCTATTTTGGAAGGTTCTGGAATCTTTAGGAGAAAGGTCCTTTCAGGAGAAGTGAGTCACTTGTGGGGAAACTTGAGGGTTTTGAGACAGACAGACAGATAGATAGATGGATGGATGGATGGATGGATGGATGGATGGATGGACGGACAGACAGAAGGACGGATAGATAGGTAGGGGTATAGACAGATACAGATAAAGATAGTCTGGCACCACAGCCTACCTGTTCTCTGCTTCCTGACTACAGACACAATGTAACCAGCCACTCCACACTCTTACCTTTCCCTACTATTATGGACTGTACACTCTAAACTGTAAACCAAAATAAACCTTCTTCACTGGTGGGTAGAGTAGGAGGTGGATTGCTTACAGAGGGACAATTCTCCTTATTCCAAAAAAATATTTCAAATAACCATTTAAACAGCTAATGGACCTCCAGGACCTTTAAATTTAATCCTATAATAAGCATTCTTCTCTCATCCATAAACCTAAATCATGTGCACCCCACCCACCCCAAAAACATACAATCATACAATTTCATTCATAAAAGGAAATTCTTGAAGAGAAATAGAAAACAAATTCACGGTTTTAAAACTTAATTTTCAGGCGTTGCTTAATCTTTGAGCTTGTAAATTACATATTTTAAACAATCTAACATCAAAAGGCAGAGGACCATAACTACAAATAACTACTTTTAAGGAACGAAAGTGGGGCTCTATCTTGAGGAATCTTACCCTCCTCTAGGGTGTGCACTGCCTTCTTAACAAACCCCAACCTTGCTTCCCATTGCCTCCTCCTGAAAGTCTTTGCTGTGTTGAAAATCGGGATTCTGACTGTACCTGGAAGAACTCAACAGACTGCACGTGCGGCAGCTTTGGGACATTTCCCGCTCCAACTGAAGCCCTGGGTTCAGGATGTAAATCACAGAAACTCCTGGCAGATATCACACTCAAATAATGGAAAGGAAAAATAAGTTTCATTTTTGGTTGAGATCAGTTAACAACAACAAAAAGTACAAAATAATCACCACTTACATGAGACCAAAGTCTCTCTCCCTTGAACAAAATCAAGCTGTAATTTAATGGACTTTTGAACTGAATTCTTGACATGGCTCCTAACTGTCCAAAATGGCCGCCTCATCTCCATTCTTTCCAATCAACAAGAATGAAAAGGGCACATTCTAGTTCACAATAAATTATAATAATAGCAATAACATAACGCCTCTACTTAAGTGCCATTTGGGTCAGTAACAAATGGAGGGAAATGTCTTGATTGCCAGCATCCACATGCTTCACTGAAAGTAAGGGATTCTCTCACTGGGGAGAAGGATGGAGTATGATGGGAACTGGCTAGCAGAACCGGACACAGATGGGAAATAGTGTACTGTGAGCGCATTGGGATTTCTGGACCCAGAGCTGAAGGCCTGATGGAGGTTCATAGGAGACGCTATAAAGTGAAGGCTTTAGACAAAGTCAATGCTCTGTGCTTTCCACAACAAAGACTTTCTTTACAGGCATTAAATTTAAGTGTGTTGAAATCAGCAACATGTATAATTTGAAATAAAAGAAATTTGCTTCACACAACCACCTTTTTTCTTTGTTTTCTTTAAAGTTGCCATGTGGGATTTCCTGCTGAAATGAGACCAAAAAGGCAACCATCCATAGACTGTTAGGTTGAAATACTAAAAAAGAATCAGTTGTTTATTTGTCCCTGTCAGGGCCAAGAGCCAAGACGAATACCACTGGGGCAGATGTGTGTTCAAAACAAGCACTGGGTTAGTATGGAGACAAATGCACACCCAAGTATGGATTCCTTTGGGCTATTTCCAGTATCTTCATTAACTCTGATGCAAAAATCATGAAAGGTTCCATGATTGCCATGACAACAGTTCTCAGTGACTATGAAAGTCTGTGTTAAGTAACCCAAGGGCAAACCCCTTGGAGAGATCTCAGATGGATTGAATTTCTGATATGCTAAATTCTAGTTTTGTTCTCCAAATCTCCCTTGTGAGGCAGCACATTTGAATCAATAAATGCCTGAAGTCTTTTCTCTAATTAGAAACTCTAGCACAATCATTAAATAAGGGAGGGAAAAGATGCAATGAGTGTAATAGAATAGTCCCAAGCCAGGGACATATCTGATTCTTTACCTCAGGAGTATTTGCAAATTGTAGTCTCTAGCTTGAGGCCAGAGTCGTTTTCATTTTTCCAACTGTTGTCTGCAGCTGGGCTACGTCACTTATGGCAGGGAAGACACAGTATCCATGCATTCAGCAGGAATTTCCTAGAGGCCAGTGAAGCACCACACCTGGTGTTAGACACCCAGATCCCACTGGAATCAGGACACACTTTTGCCTTCACAGAGCTCACAAACAAGTCAGGAAGATAAGCGATTCTCAAGTGTATGGCAGGTGAAGGAGTAACTCCTGTGAGACTATGAGGGAACAATGTGAAGGGATGGTGTGCCTACTCTGATGACCCAGAAGAGGCCATGCGTGGCATTGCAGTCGGGTGAGGATTGGGACAATGCTCAAGGCCTGAAGATTTGAAAAAGCTTGGAAAGCTGGCCAGGCGATGGTGGCACATGCCTTTAGTCATAGCACTTGGGAGGCAAAGGCAGACAGATCTCAGGGAGTTTGAAGCCAGCCTGGTCTACAAAACAAGTTCCAGGACAGCCAGAATTGTTACACAGAGAAACCCTGTGTCGAAAA